CTCTCTCTCTCTCTCTCTCTCTCTCTCTGTGTGTGTGTGTGTGTGTGTGTGTGTGTGTGTGTACATGTGGAAGCCATAGGGTGGGTGAGAGTGTCATTCCTCAGGAACCATCCAATTTTTGCGACAGGATCTCTCATTCCTCTGGAACTTGTCAAATAATTTACACTGTCTGGCCACTAACCCATGGGGATCTGTCTGTCACCACCTCTCTAAGACCCTGGGATTAGAAATGCATGCCACCATACCCATCATTTTTTACATGAATTATAATAATCAGACTCAGGTCCTTATTTTCTTTTGGCAGTCACTTTACCATTCATCTTGAGTTTAAATTAAAATACTATGTACCTGGAGAAGAATCTTTTTCAAGATTTAAAACTATTGAGTTAGAATACAGACTTGACCGCTAGAATAACAACTTCAAAATATCAGTAGATTTACATGAAAAATTACACACATGTTCATTTTGCAATATGCATAATAGTCAAGCAATAGGATTAGCTAGATTGTTCACTGACCACAAATAGATGCACAAGCTAGAGCAGGTCTTCAGCTGGAGGGAAAAAGTTCAGATGGTGCCAAGCAATGGATGAGCTATGAGGATATTGTGCTTACTTAATTCACACAATTACACAAACTCTTCTATTCAACTCAAATGGGTTATGTCAAATAGTTAAATCTCTATACAAAGATGATTGAATGGAGGAGAGTAGAACCAGAAATTGTTTAATGTCCCAGAGTTTCAATTTTGCAAGGTAGAAAATGTTCTGGTCATTGATTGTACAGCAATATGAACACATTTAACATTATTGAACTGCACAATTAAAAGTGTTAACAAGAGTTATGATTGATGGCACACAACATTATTCAAAACACTTGAGAGTCTGAGGCATGACTGTCACAAGTTTGAGATTGTTTGATTATATATGAAGAAAATACCCCCAAAAGTGTTGTTGTGGCAAGTTTTATGTTGAATGTATTTTACATCCAATTAATTTTTATTTAGACATTAGTGCAAGTCATATACATTTATTTCTCTCTCAGAAGAAATCCCTAAGCTAGACCTTGTAATGAGCTTGTTATTACAAATTCCCTTTAAACTGTTGCTGATTTGAAACTAAAGTGAAGCTCACCTCTCTGTAAGTGTGTACCCTTGATGACTCCTTCCCCTGGAAGGAAGGAAGCAGACACCATCATTTTTTTATAAAAGGAAACAATTTATTGCCTGTAAAGATTAATTTACAAAATGAAATGGGTTGCCAAGGGATTTGCATTCCCCTGTCAAGATGCTTTTGAAAATTAGGTAGCATATCTGGTGGGTGATCTTGGTACTTGGATGTATGAAAGTGAATTAAATAAATGCTTTAATATCTTCCTGTTCTCTTGAATCAACCTCAAAGAAATGTAGTTTTTTTAAATTAGAAACAAGCTTCTTTTAGATGTCAATTCCAGTTTCCTCTCCCTCCCCTCCTCCCCTCCTCCCCTCCTCCCTTCCTCCCCTCCCTCCACCCCATCCCAACCTCTTTCTGCTCCCCAGGGAGGGTGAAGCCTTCCATGAAGGATCTTCAAAGTCTGTCTTATCATTTGGAACAGGGCCTAGACCCTCCCCCATGTGTCTAGGCTGAGAGAGTATCCCTCTATGTGGAATGGGCTCCCAAAATCCATTCGTGTACTAGGGATAAATTCCAATCTACTACCAGAGGCCCCATAGATTGCCCAGACCTCCAAACTGACATCCTCTCTCAGAAAGTCTGGAACAGTCCTATGCCTGTTTCCCAGCTATCAGTCTGGGGTACATGAGCAACCCCTTATTCAGGTCAGCTGTCCCTGTGGGTTTCTCCAGTCTGGTCCTGACCCCTTTGCTCATCACTTCTCCCTCTCTGCAACTAGATTCCAGAGTTCAGCTGTTTAGCTATGTGTGAGCAGACACCACCTTAACAGGCCTTGTTCCAAAGATGAAACTCATGTTTATTTGTAATTTTTGTTTTTGTTTGTTTTTCATTTTTTAAGACATGTTTTCTCTGTATATGTAGCCCAGGCTATTCTGGAATGCACTCTGTAAACCAAGAAAATCTGCCTACCTCTGCCTACCTAGTACTGGAATTAAGGTTATGTGCCACCATGACTGACTGTCTATTTGTATTTTACTTGGCAGAATTAGTCATGGCCATTTACTGAGAAAGGAATTAAGGAGATAAGTTTTTAGCTGGATAATTATTTTAATCTCTATGAGAATATTGAAAGACCGGTAACCACCATTATCATTTGTTACTATGATTCTATCTGTTCATATATATTTCAAAACGTTCTTAAGATAAGGCACAGCTGTTCTCATTAATCAGATGTGGAAACAATTCTGAAGGATTTCATTCACAATGTTATGCAACAACTTCTTGCTGCCCACTACCCATGAACAGAATATTGTTCCTACCACATGAAAAATGACTTGGTGCCATGCTCTTAGCATTCCCAGGCTCTAGGACTATGAAACCTGAATGTAAGTTGTTGAGCGTCTACAGATGTGTGGTGATCTGAATGTTCATGTATTCTCTATGACTCCACCTATTGCAACTTAATTACCGGCAGTATGGGGTTTGTTGGTGATTAGTCCAATGAAGGGAGTAATTGACTTTAAAAGAGGTAGCAGAGAAGCCAGGGAGACAGTTCAGGAGGTAAAGAACCTTGCTACCTAGCCATTTTTCATGAGTGCAATTCCCAAAACCCACATAGTAGAGGAAGAGAAACAACTCCCACAGCTGTTCTCTGTCCTCCACTCTTGTGCCATGAGACACCCTCACCTGCCAGAAATATATTATTCTATTATTATTATCTTTTTAAAAAAGTATTAGAGACACCTCTTTATCCCTGTTATATGAGGACCCAGTGAATCTTTCTCATTTTTGAGGCAGAAAATTATTCCTACCAAATGAGAAATGGCTTGGTGCCCTGCTCGAGCATCCACAGGCTCTAGGACCATGAAACATGGACGTGAGTTGTTTATACTCCACTTTGTGAAAGGAACTCACTCATACCAGACTAAGTACTGCTCTGGGGTTAGCCATGCTGATCACAGCTGTTCCATTCAGGAAAGTTAGGGTTATCTTGTGGGCTCAGAGAAAAATCACAGAATTGATGATTTTTCTTTTAAATCAATCATTTTAAGGGTTAAGTAAACTTATTCTTTACAGCTAGGACACTAAAATGAAATAAAAGCAAGACAACTTCTATATTGTTAGAAGAAATAACTAAATTTGAAAATTAATAGGATCTTCTGTTTTCTTTCAGAGAAAGTGCAGGCTGAGATTGATAGAGTGATTGGCCAGAAGAGGCAGCCGAGTCTGGCTGACCGAGAGTCCATGCCCTACACCAATGCTGTCGTCCATGAAGTACAGAGGATGGGTAACATCATCCCCTTGAATGTTCCCAGGGAAGTGGCAAAGGACACCGATTTGGATGGATTCCATTTGACAAAGGTAACTACATGCTCCTAGCCTCAGATATCTCAGTCCATTTTTGACATAGTCTTAAGAGGCTAAACTAAAGGTGACATGTATTCCTGCCTCAAGACATCATTTAAATTTGGGCTGAGAGATAGTACACCTGCTAAAATATGAGTTTTCCTCCATTCATCTAAACAGATATTTACATACATTTTGGGGAAAGAAGACTCCTTGGTCAAACATGTTTAGGCAAAGCGTGGCTTTGTTTCCTAAAGGCATCTTAGATTCTTCCTATGAGAATGTGGACTCACAACAGTCAGCAGTTTGATGTTACCTGACAGGTCAGCTCTCAAGACCAAAGCTTGGTTATAAAAAGCTTCTACACAGCCCTTGAAATACAGAATTGGCAATGTGAGTGAAATTTGAGGCGCATGCACTATCATCACAGTGAGTTTGGTGTTTCTAAAACAGTGACCCACAGGCTTATTTAAATTATATACAAATAATTTCTGTCTCATGAGGGAAGCTGTTTCAAATTGCAGTCTTAGAAAGGGAGAGAGAGTCAAGAGTTACTAAGTGATATTTGTGTGATGTTGACTCTTATTTCCTTCAAAATGTTTTATCAACATTTCAGAATAACTATCCATCTCACTTTTGAGATTAGAAAGTTGAGGCTTAAGCAAATTTGGTTTGCATAAAATCTCTCTAGTACAAAATAATAAAAGTGGGGAATCCAGAACCAAACCTCTTCTGATCATTCTGATCACCCCAGGATTCCTCCATGGGACTTGTATTGTTTTACATTATGAGGATCTCCTTTGATATTTTGACATGAGTCCCTGTTAAATTCCCTCTCTTTACAAACTGAATCTCTATCACATCACCCAGTGCTCTTAAGATCTCTGCCCAGGGGTTCCAGAAACGTATGCACTCAGTGCCCTGAAACAGTTACAGTACCTTCTGTTCTTCCTTTCACATTGGATTATAAGAAGGTAATTTTTCTTGGCTGTGACAAAATACCCAAGAATTGGTGAAAGAGCCAATCAGATCATATAATGGTGGTGTCCAGGAAGCAGAGGGAACACCTACAGGAGGCTTTTTGCTGCTTCTTCCACCCTTTTTATTTCATCCAGTCTGTCAACCTGGAATGGTTCTATCCACAGTCAGGGAAGGTCTGCTACGACTAGTTGATTATCTCTGGAACTGTCTTCATGAATCCTATCATGAGATGATGGAAACATACTGCAGAGTATGTAATGAAAATGATGGGAGTGGCAATGTGATCACGTACATGGCACACTTCACTGTTAACGTTGCAGCAGATATGGGTCTAAGAGATCAAGGGGGCAGCCTGCACTAAGGTGGTACTTGGACTCAGGAATGGACCTGACAAAACCAAGAGAGATTAGAAGAATGGGTAAAGTCATTGATCCGGTGAATGAATCAGTGGGAGGTAAAGACTCATGCTGGGGAGTCCGGGCACCATGCCAGTGAGCCTGATGGACTCGCCTTGCTTACTCAACTTGCTTGATGTGCTCCCAACACTGTGGACCGGGTTCAGAGGCCTCCACACAGAGGTCCAAAATGGAAAAGCAGAGATGGAAGGCTCATCATTTCCCTCCATAGACCTACCAATATCCTCATGGTAGGAAGTGGCTGAGTTGGTCTTTATTCCTGCCTGCCTCATTATTCTTCTTTGGATGCTAACATGTCTCTCCATAGACCCGTACAGACTTGTTCCTATAGAATTGTGTTCAGCATTAAAGAACGACTAAATGGACTTGAAAATCCCCAGAAGTCACTCACAGTCATTGTAAAGTTATCTGGACAAAGGAGAGGGCACTAAGTGGGGAGAGCCATGCATGAGAGCTCAAGAACTTTATACTTACTTACAGGTCTGTTCCGTATATCAAGTCTTGACTGTTTGCTGTCATTTCTAGGGTACCATGCTTTTAACCAACCTAACTGCACTGCATACAGACCCCAAAGAGTGGGCCACCCCAGAAACCTTCAATCCAGAGCACTTTTTGGAGAATGGACAGTTTAAGAAGAGAGAATCCTTTCTACCATTCTCAATGGGTGAGTTGTGATGATCAGGTCAGAGCTCCATCCCAGCCATTCCATAGTCCTCTGCTTTAATGAAAACACCTCCAGATGGCCCAACATTGTTCCACTTCACTTTTGGTTGCAATCCTACATTTTCTGGCCTTGGTACTGCTTTAAACCTACCCCGATTCTCACCCTTCCTTGCCTTAACTGGGTATTTCAGCTTGCCTCGTGCTGTTTTCCAAAACACTAAGAATAGAGACCTATACTCTTCCCCTTCTTCACTAAGGTAGATATGTGGCATCTTCATAAGATTTTTCAGTGTCCCAAGTTACTTTTAAAGGATGCAGTCTCATGGGGAAATGGAGTTGACTTGAAATGTGATGAAGAGGAGAAATGGGAGAGTGAGTTGCTCACATGAAACAATAATTTAAAAAAGGTCACTCAGAGTAGACCATCTTTTGATGTACATTTCATACACCCTACCAAATAAGCCATACCCACCCTTTATTAACATTGAAAACTATAGTATTAAATACATGCTGGGAAAGTTATAGAGATCCTGTCTCAAATAAAATGGTTAAAAGAGAGATGGGGTGTAGCTCAGTGAAAGTATACTTTCTACAATATCCAAGACCCTTGATTTAGCAATTGCAGGAAGAAAGAGAGAGACTGAACAAGTGAGGATGAAGAGGCAAGAAAAGAGAAAAGGAAAAAAGGAAAGGAAAGGAAAGGAAAGGAAAGGAAAGGAAAGGAAAGGAAAGGAAAGGAAAAGAAAAGAAAAGAAGAAATAAAGAGAAAGATATTCTTCTCTAGTATGAACTCTGACACCAGCATCCACACTGGTCAGCATTGTCAAGGGACAGACTGCACACTGTACGCACTACTAGTATTAGTGTAATTTACACAGCCACTCACAAATGGCCTTTGAGAAGTTGGAGAGTGGAGGGAAAATGGAAGTCAATGGCCACTCAAAAGAGCACTTGCCCAGAACCAATCTATACATTTCAGTAAACTTCTATTTAGTTAGAACAGCCATTCTGAGGCTTTGGGCTTTGCTTCTATTTTACACTATTACTTTTTTCTTTCTTTTTTCACTTAAAATGTATTATTTAGGAATAAAGGAAGCTAGTAGCAATGTACTTAAGGTACCTGACGTGGTAGCTCAGCTGGTAAATTGCTTGTTTTATGAGCATCATATCCTGATTTGATCCTCAGAACACACACAGAAAGCTGAGTGTGTCAGCATATGCTTGTACTCCTTGTGCTAGTCACCAGAGACAAGAGGACTCTGGGACTCACTGGCCAGCCAGTTTAGCCTGAATGGCAGGGACACTGTCTCAACAACACATACATAAATAAATAAAGTGGATGGCACATGGGGATCAGCACCCATAGTGGGCCACTAAGTTCCACACATATGTGCACCCATGTATGTACACAATGAACACACATATACACACACGCACATCTACATAAATGTGAGATTAAAGGTGGATTAGAGACTTGCGGAGCCCTGAGGTACTATTGGGATGCATGGTGAAAATGCTCACTAAGGGAGAGAACAGTGGCATGCTAGTGTCTTCCTGGATCATCAGAGATCACTGGTGTGAACTCAGACAGTCAATAGAGAAACTGACACATAGGTACAGAAATGAATACAGAAACAAGTACATGTGTCTATATACACACTTTGATAAACACACCATGTGCATGTGTGCATGGTATGAGGTGACCTAGAACAGTGGCTTCCAGACCTCCTGCCCAGGTCTTCACTTCCACATGACATTAATCAGTGCAAGGAACCAAGACACCTGGGAAAATGACTGTTTCCTGGACTGGCAAAGTGAAAACCAAAGTCAAGTCTAGGACATATTGTTGAGCCAAGGTAAGGAACTGTCAACTTGAATGGGGCTCTAATGACCAAATCAGGAAGATGGTAGACATAGTCATCTAGACACAAAGTCCAAGGTCAGCTCAGTATTTACAATAACCACTCCCTCCATACACCAAAGTCAGCTGAGAAAGTGACTCATCTTCTGTTTTGGTCCACAGGAAAGAGGGCTTGCCTGGGAGAACAATTGGCCAGGTCTGAGCTGTTCATCTTCTTCACTGCTCTTATGCAAAAATTCACCTTCAAGCCCCCAGCTAATGAGAAGCTGAGCCTGAAGTTTAGAATGGGCCTCACTCTTTCCCCAGTCAGCCACAACCTCTGTGCTGTCCCCAGACTGTGATGCTGGAGAAGGAAAGAGAAAAGAGTGCAGGAAAAAATGGTATATGCCCAAAGCTTCTGGGTCTTGCTCATGTAAGCGGAGAACAATGTCACAGAATGAAGGAGATTCAAGAAATATTGAAGAAATTAAATTTAAAAAAGAAGATAGAATCAAATTTCTGGAGTGTTGGCCTATAATTTAGTGGTGATCAAAGCATTTATGAGCTCAGTGGCACATCTTTTTATCTAAAAGTTCCAAGGATGATGATTCTTCCTATAAAGAAAATGAAATCCTGAATTAAAAGTGCTGAGTGCAATCATGAGTCACAATTGTCTTCAATTTTCCTCCTTCCTCCTTTGTTTCTGACCCATTGAAGTGTTGCTTTAATGTGGTGCAAAGAGAGAATAAGAATCAGAAATGAATTCCTGGTTTCATCCACAGGATGAGGTCATGAAGACTCTCCCAAATGATAGATGTGTCCCTAACTTAGATAGCTCTGCCTCCAAGTAGTCTTGGAAAGCAGCCATCTGAGTTTCCTCTATTGAGACTTCTTTGTTTAGATCTGTACACCCTTTTTAATTAAGTTTTGGGGTTTTTTTGACATCAAGTTTCTAGAGTTCTTTATTTTGGATATTAGTCCTCTGTCAGATGTGGAGTTGGTAAAACATTTTTTCCCATTCTGTAGGCTGCAGCTGGAGGTTTCTTATTTGGTAAAATTGTATTTCTTCCCTAACACCCACATATACTCATGGTTTCTCTCTAAATGTGGAAGCCAAATGATAAGAATCACTTCCTCTGCTTGGTAAGAAATCAAGAGTCAGGATAATGTGTTCAATTTTATTATTATTTATCAATACTATATTGTATATCAGATATCAGTAGTGAATATGAGCAGTTGCAGGCCTTACCATTTCAGAGTACATATTCTAGTCTTGATGGGACTGGGGGGAAAGGTACCATAAACCTACAAATAAATTTGCATTAGTGTTCCCAACTTGAGAATGGATGTCCAAAACAAGATTTTAACAATGTGTGCAGCTATAAACACCTTTGTTCACCTTCATAACTGTACAGCACACATCATGGGGAGAGAATCATTTCAGAAAATTTCCAGTGGTGACTTCTCTCTGTTATGTGACAGGTGCTGCAGCCTCAAAAATCTGGCCATCCTACCCTAACCCCAGACCCAATCTCTTTCCTCTGGTGTTGCTTAAAGTGAGACCAGCAGCCTGGTGTGTGGTGCACACCTTTAATCCCAGCACTGGAGAGGCAGAGGCAGAAGCAGGTGGCATCCATAGCTAGTTAGTGAGACCCTGTCTCAAAATAATAAATAAAATATGAGACCTGGCATATGTCTCTTCTCTCAGCTCTCACAAAGGGGTTAATTGCCCCCTCCTCCTCTGGTGCCTGTGACCAGAGACATGTAGCTTTTTAATTACTATGCCTCCTGGTGTGAGACCTCCAACCTCCTCAGAACCTTTAAGAATGGACTTTGCGGGCTGGAGAGATGGCTCAGCCGTTAAAGGCTAGGCTCACAACCAAAAATATAAGAATGGACTTTGCTCTTTTTAAAACCACATTGGGGGCGAGTGCTGGGAACACAGTACCTGGCACCTAGGGGTGGAGGCAAAGGACCTGCAGGTGATCAGATGTTGGGGAAAGGGGCAAACCAGAGAGCACCCGGGCAAGGCTTAAGAGGGAGGAGCCTGGAGGAGATTGAGTGAAAGTGCAGAAAGAGGAGCAGAGGGATCTGCTGAAGCCTCCATCGTTACCCAATACTGAGGAGCAGGGTATAGGTTCTCAGGCAGAAGAGAGAAACGGGGCGGGGCCAGTGGAGATGGTGTAAACAATGCAGAGCAATGGCTCTGGTAGGACCCAGAAGGGCGTGGTCGGCAAGAAACTGGGTGGAACTTAGCAGAGGTGTTGTCTCTACTGTCAGCGCCAGGCAGTGACCCAGGGAACCAGCCCCAGCTCAGACCCTTGCCATGCTTGTCACCAAAGGTTCCCTGGTGGCTGCCATCTGGGCAATGCTCCATCCCAAGACTCTGTTGCTGGCTGCTTTCACTTTCTTGTTGCTGATCAACTACCTAAAAACCAGGCGCCCCAAGAACTGCCCTCCAGGGCCCTGGCGCCTGCCCTTTGTGGGAAACTTGTTCCAGCTGGATTTGGAGCAGTTGCATCTGGTGATTCAGCAGGTGAGAAAGGGTGGGAGTGCCTGCTGTGCCATGACCTAATTCGGAGCTGCAGGGCCAGGGATCCTGCCATGGGGGGCGGGAGGACCTGGCTGTAATCTGATGCTGTCTGTAGGCTAACCTAGCCAGTAGAGCTAGTTTCTAATCTGTGCCTTCATTTATGACACACGATTTTGTGTTGCCAAAAAGTTGATCTTAACACCCTTGTGTGAAAGATTTCCATTGTTGTCCCACTATGATCTGACAACACACAATGAATAATTTCATTTCGGTTAAGTATGTTGAGTGGACAGATAGCAGGATAGTTCCCCCGGATAAATAAATGCTGCTGCTTTAAGAAACGTTGGCTTCCCTTAGTTCCTGCCCCCTTCTCAGTCTTCTTCTACTTTTCTGTCAAATGTGAGAAGAAACATGACATTCATTTGAATCTGATTTCTCTCAATCTGATGATCTTCAATCCTATTTTCCTGCAAATAACAACAACAACAACAACATATTCTTTACAACTGAAAAAAAAAAACTCCACTGTGTATACATAACACATCCTTTATTCATTTGTCTGTTGGTTGGCATCCAAACTGATTCCACTCAACTTTTGTAAACAGCACAGAAACAAGTAATAAACATGGGTCTTTGTGGATTCTTGTGACTTACAGATTTCTTCAGGGACCACCCAGAGTGAGGCAGTAAGATTCAGACATCTTATATTTTGGAAGAACCTCCATACTGATTTCCATAATTGTACCAGGTTACAACTCCATTGTATAAGGGGTTTGTCTTTCCCACATGCTCACCAACATTTGCTGGCATTTGTTTTCTTTACACAATAGCCATCTGACTCAGGTGAGAGAGACAAAATCTGAATGCAGTTTTAATTTGCATTTCCCTGGAGACTGACAAAGGATACCGAATATTTTTTCAAATATGTATTGGCCATTTCTGTTTCTTTCAAAAATTGTTCACTTCATTTGGCCATTTATTAAATAATTAATATGGGTTTTAGTGTTATATTTTGGAATTATTCATAAGTCAGATGTATAGCTGGCAAAGATTGTTTTCTCATTCTATATGCTGTCTCTCCACTTTTAGACTGTTTGAAGTGCAAAAGATACCTGCATAAAAGCACATTTTTCAATTATTAGGATTATTTCCTGTGCTATTGCAGACTTTTTCAAAAACTTCTTTCCTATCTTAAAGTGTTTGCTAATGTTTTCCTCCAGCAGTTGCAGAGTTTCTGTATTAAGTTGAGTCTTTGATCCATCTTGAATTGATTTTATACAGGGTGGAAAATAGAAATATAATTTTATTCTTCTGCGTGTGGCTATCCAAACTTCCCAGACCCAGTTGTTGAAGGCGCTGTCTTTTCTCTACAGTCTTGTTTTTTACATCATTGTCAAATTTAAGTGTGTGGCAGGGGGCATGGAAATGGCTCAGAAATTAAGAGAATTCGCTGTGCAACATGAGGGGCAGTTTGGATTATAGATGCAATGCAATAAGTCAGGAATCCTTTGCATGTCTGCAACCCCACCTTCAAGGGAGGTTGGATCAAGGGAGGGGCTTGCTGACTTCGAGCCTAACCTAGAAAATGAAAGCCCCAGGCTCAGAAAGACACCCAGAAGCAAGACAGAGTAAAAGGAGGACATAAGATGCCTTCTTCAAGCCTCTGTACATGGACAGGCTATGTACCTGTACAGTACGTATGTACATACACTGGCAAAGGCACAGTCATATACAAATTAAACAAATAAATACTTTTTAATTATTAAAAAAAGAAATCTGTAATAAGTGCCCTTTCACTTAATTTGTTAAACAGTCATCCAGGGAATACAGACACAAAAACAAAAACATGTTCTCTTAATCAGAATCCTCTCTAATATCAGTTCTCTCTTATTGACATGTGTTTAGTCTTTGTGCATCCTTGCTGTCTGCCTACCTAATGATTTTCTCAAGTACACAAATCCAGACAAAAAGGTAGTCAAGTCTCCAGCGCCACTGGGAAGTCTGTTTGTCTGTCCTTCTTCTCTCTCTCCCTCCTCTTCTCCCCCCATTCAGTGTTTTTGGGTGTGTGTGTGTGTGTTAAACTCAAAGACATAGAGGCTGGAAGAAGAGGTCCTGTCCTGCTGTTCTGCACTTTTCATGGCTTTGGGAAAAAATAATAAACTCTAGTTAGAGTTTACCCTCTGTCAATTGCTATTTTGATTAGCATGATAAAGAAATTATTTTACTTGATCTTGAGTTGATTAAAAATATTCATCTATATCTTTCTTTTGCCACTAAATTAGATGTGACTACAGGGCTTAGGTAAAATGTCTGATGTCACAACAATGGTTCATGATGAACCATTTGGGCTCTTCTTCCCAGGTGTGTCATTTTTCATCCATTTATTTGGTACTTTATATGAGTTTACAGTTTGATATTTCTGTGTATAAACAAGTGAGGTAAAATGATACTATTCACTAATAATTGTTTAGATTCTTGCCACTGGGAAACAATCCTCACAGTCTGGTGGCCTTCCCTTTGGATCGAATGCTCCTTTTTCTTCAGGTTCCATGACAGGCACAAATGTGAGCTGCCTTCTGCTAGCATTTCCATATTCTACTGAGCAAACTGTAGAAAAACAGGAATCCGACTTTCCTATGTTGGTCCCTGAGGTAACGGCAATGAAGGGCTTAAACCCAACATGATTTGACTCAACATTTTTTTCTCTGCACTTCCTGCCTCTTCCTACAATTAGAAGTTGTCTATCTATGGAATTATTTAGTGAATACACATTTATTAAGTGCTTACTATGGCAGGCACAATGAAAGATGATCATATGTAGATTCTGGTCACCAAGTGTGGCATCAGATCAAACGGCAATGGGTGAGAAGCTCTGGGATAACTTTTGGTAGTATGATGGCCTAAATTGGGTTGCCATTAAAAGAATGTTTAACAAGTATCTAGTAGAGTAAAAGGATAAGTCATTCTAAATGGAGGAGGTAGCATGAGTTAAAACAGGACAACGAAGAAGCTGATTCCTGTTCATCATGTGGAACCTGCACTCCCCTTCCAAGTCACAATTTCTTAAGTTTCTCCAGTACAATCTATTGAATTTTATGAGAACACTTTTTTCTTAACAATTTATTGTGTGTGTGTGTGTGTGTGTGTGTGTGTGTGTGTGAGAGAGAGAGAGAGAGAGAGAGAGAGAGAGAGAGAGAGAGCACATACCTGTAGAGGCTAGAAAAGGGCACTGTTGGATCCCCTGGAAATGGAGTTACAAGCAGTTGTGAGCCAACCAACATGGTTTCTAGGAGCCAAACTGTGGTCCGCTGTAAAAAGAGCTTCTCTCTTAATCACTGAGCCATCTCTTCAGACCTGGAACATCATTTACATAGAGAAAATCTCAGATACATTAGACATGTTAGATATTTTCATTCATTTCTAGTTAGTTGTTCCAAAGCATCCCAAATACAATGGTGTACACAAAATTAACACTTTCCCCTCTCAAAAGTGGAGAATCTGGAGTCTGGATATACAAAATGCAAAGGCTGCTTTGTACCACAAGCTCACTTGAGAAGTCCTGCTGCTTTTGTATTATTGCTCTGATCCTCCACAGTTTCAATTGTGTGTGTTCTAGAACATAGGGAAGAGGAATTGACAAGAAAGAAACTTTGAAGACCTATGACCCAGAAGGCACAAATGTAACCATTACACTCCTCCACCTTGCTTCCCATCTCACTTTTCATGAGCAGCTACTTCTTCTAGGAACCTGACCTGGTCCTGGTTCGCTCATGTGCTTATTGACTTTCCCTTGTCAAATAACTGATAGACACTGTGATAATAAGAAGTGAGTTTTGATCAGCATTGGATTGTGACTTTCTTGAAGCTAAAATTATCAAACTTTCTAGCACTTGGCATTGACCTTTGGCTGGGAGATGCTTACCATGCAGGTGGAAAGACTTAGTTCAGTCCCCAGAACTTATATTTAAAAAGCCCAGTGTAGTAGCCTGGATTTTTAATCAAAGGGCAAGGAAAAAGAAGACAAGTGAATCTCCAGGATTCACTAGCTAGCCAGCATAGCTGTCTTGAACCAATGAGACACCCTGACTCAAAACAAAACAAAACAAACAACAGAAAAAACAAGGTGTATTGCCCCTTAGAGAGATGCCTGGGATTTAATTCTGGCCACCATACTCATGCTCATACACATGCACACAAATGAATATACATGAAGATACAAAGAAGCTGGGTAGTGGTGGCTCATGCCTTTAATACCAGCATGCAGGAGGCAGAGGCAGGTGGATCTCTGTGAGTTCAAGACCAGCCTGGTCTACTGAGCGAGTTCCAGGTCAGCCTCCAAAGCTACAGAGAAACCCTGTCTGCAAAATGAAAACAAACAAACAAACAAAAAACAAAGAAGCATGTTAAACTTTGAGGCAACAGAGATTCTGGGTTTCATGTGCCATACTTCACACACACACACACACACACACACACACACACACACACACACACACACACACTGCACACCTCACTTCCCAATGCTTTAAGAATTCAGACTAATAAACCTTCTTACCTACTTCTTATGGCAAAGTTAATTGGTACGTTTTTTTTTTTTTCATTTTCTTTCTGGTTGACTCTGTTTTGTTCCTTCTTAAGTTTAAGGGCTTTGACACAGTGAAATCTTTCTCAAGTTGCTCTTCATAGCTCAGTGTCTGGTCTCACTAATCCTTGGAATGAGAATCTCTTTCTTCTAAGCATTCCCTCTGCTGATCCTTGTTTCTTTATACTACACTTGGAGATTTCATTCCTACTACTAACGTCCTATTGTTTTCCTTAGCTATTATATCTCATATTTTAATCCATTGTTTTTCATTTTTTCTATTAATCCTGTTTTAGCCTTCTGTACTAGCTTGTATTTTTAAAATTATTTTATTTTATGTATATGAATACTTTGCCTGCATATATGTCTGTGCATTGCATGCATGCCTGTTGCCCACAGAGGCCAAAAGAGGGTGTTGGAATGGGAGTTACAGACAGTTGTGATCAGCCATGTGGGTGCTGGGAATAGAACCCAGATTATCTGGAAGAGCGACCTTCCCACTGAGCCATCACTCCAGCCATGACCTATCTTCCTTTTATCCTCTTTTAAAATTATTTTTATTGACTTTATGTTGCACAGTGAAAAACATACCTTGTCTTATGACTTCTCCTGAGACATCACCTGACATTTAATCTACATGAAACAATTGTAGACACCACTGACACATTTTCGAATCATAAGGCTATAGATCCAGAGGTTAATTGACTTGCAGGTCTTTACTTGGTTGGCAACAATATAAAGCTTATTGATATAATTCTGCTGAACTAGAAATATACATAGGCAAAGAGCTGATAAAAATGAAAAAGGCATGGGGAAATGGTGGCACACACCTTTAATGCTAGCACTCTGGAGGCAGAGGTAGGTGGACTTCTGTGAGTTTGAGGCCAGCCTGATCTACAGAACTAGCTCCAGAATAGCTAGGGCTGTTACACAGAGGAACCCAGTCTTGAAAAGAAAAGAAAAGAAAAGAAAAGGAAAGGAAAGGAAAGGAAAGGAAAGGAAAGGAAAGGAAAGGAAAAGTAATTTAGTCATTTACCTCAGAATTTAGCTTCTGGATCCTTCTCAAGTTCAAGGACAAAAGGTGGGTGGTTCCTATTGCCAGTGGGGAGTCATTTACCTTAAACTAAATTTTCAGTTGTTTCCATAGATTCCTTATTAGGCATTCACCAAAATAAAATTAGAAATTTACTGGATATTCACGTGTCCATTACTGATAGCTCTTACAGTAAAAATACATTCCCTTATTGGTTCTGTGCTTATGACTAAGATGGGGCAGACTGACTGAGGTTAAATGAAATTATTAAAACCTATGGATAAATAGCAAAATAGGCTGTCTTCAATGTGGGTTCAAGATTCTCAGATGAGGCCAAATCGTGGCATATGATTTGACAGTGTTTCCATGGGTTCAGGTCTCAAAGTGGTAGAGTGACAGTACATGGAGATGGGGAAGGGGTGGAAGACCAAAGACACCTGAAGGACCTGAACCCTCTGTTTGACACTACTGTTGCAATTAGACCACAGGCAGAGCTTGGGTCTGCATAGTTCTGACCCTTGGGAACATAGATGGAAGGAACTTTGATATTGATCACATAACATCATTCAAAGCAAACAATGTCTTACACATTATATGCATTTTGTGGGTACTGTCCTCTCCCAAACTACCTCCTCGTCCTCATGGCTGCTCACCACTCTATCTTCCACTAAACTCTAAGGGCATATGGACATCTCAACATGAATGTAGTTGTCTTCAGTGTGGTATAATGCCTGGCAATTTGCCTCCTCCAGGCAAAACCTAAGTTTGGCTAGATTACCCTGCCTCCAGCTTAATTGCCATTTAAGAATGATGAAGAAAATCCTAACTACAGTAAAACAGTTATAAATAATTAAGTAAAGCAAAAAAGCATACTAAATACCCACTCAGTCTGTGTGGCTATCTGGGATTGGTAGGCTCTTGTCCTGGTTTTCATCATTCATTTGTATCTCCAAGCCTTTGAACACAGAGCTCATTCATTTGTCAGAGATGGAATGAGTGGCTGGGTGCCTGGAACTAAACAGCATGCTTCTCACATTGTTGCTTTTATTATATCCCACAGAACTCTTTGATGGGGGATGTTTTCTTTAACCATTTCATAACCGGGGGTTCTGAAACTTGGAAGAGAGCACCTGCCCAAAGAGGACATAGTCAGTTAACCATAGAGCCTATGTGCTTTCATCACTCCAGATTTTCAGAGATGTTTCCACTTCTAGCCTCTACCCTTTATTGTATTTTTCATGTCTACTAATTATTAAACAAAAGCATTCTCTTCTCTACACTAACACTGTAATTTTACTCAGGCTTCCATGCTTTCTACAACCCGCTTGTACGTAGACAACTCAAGTTCTTTGAGGACCAATGCCTTTAAATTTCTGCCTTCACTGGATTCCAGGTTTAAGACCTTGCTTTCTTTTAAAGGCTTCTAGGGAAACATTGAAGTTTACTCAATTCTTATTGATGAATGCATAAATCAAAGTATAAGAAGAAATTTCAAGTTCTAAAGTGAATTGGAATTTGGTGAAATGCAGATGAAGAAAAAAGTACTGTAACATTCCTGGTATACCAATGTACCTTTTCTACACACAGGTATATGAACTTCCCTTAGTTTTAGTCTCAGTATTTACACATGTACATCTCATATCTGGCAGGTGCTGTATAGACAACCTTATCCTCTGGATAAACAGATATTTGATTTTCTAAGAAGTCTATGCAAGCTGTACAAAACATGAACAGACCTTCCTCAGCCCTTGTCAGATCACATGAGTTTTTAGGATGCTTGTATAGAGTCCTTGTTTATTTGTTGACACTTATATCCTTATACCTTCTTTTAGGAAAATATGTTAAATGCCTGTTCAACTCACACTGATCTATATCAATGATTTTTATAGAATATATTCCAATTTTAATTGAATTTGAATTTGGTTTAGAGGATGAGGAAACCTTTTCAGAAACATTACCACAGAACAAGGTGCATCCCTCCACTCCCATTAACAGAGACCTCTCAACCTAAGTCCCATTAGACATGCTCATGTCTGCCAGCCCTTGAAACCATGACACAGACACTCTTAACTAAGGCTATTTAAATGTTTTCCAGTTTGTGAAGAAGTATGGAAACCTCATTAGCCTGGATTATGGTAACATCCCTTCAGTGGTCATAACTGGACTGCCCTTGATCAAAGAAGCTTTCACTCACATGGAACAAAATTTTTTGAAACGCCCCATTACACCAATCAGAGAACGTGTCTTTAGTAACAATGGTAAGTTTCACTGGCAACACTATTGATTGTATTGTGTTGTTTAAAAGAACATGAATCTTCATGGAAAAATGGGACACGTAATAGTAAAAACGTGTGGTAAAAGGATGTGGTCAACATGTATTGCACATGTATGAAATTTTTAAAAAAGAAAAGAGTGCAGATACTATGGTTTCTAGTACAGTTTAAAATGTGTGTATGATGTGTTAAAGGTACCTCTATGTCTGTAATTTTATATTTCTGTAAACACAATCCTTCATGAAATGTTATCTTCAAAGTCAGCTAAATGCAACATTTCCTAGATGAAAGCAACCATCACAGGACTTACAGTGTATCCCTGTAAGAGAGATTTGGAGAAACCCTGTGTCCTGTAGTCGAACTCTAGATGCATGGATAGGAAGTAACAGCATCTCCTTCCTCAGCCAAACACACTGTGTGCTCACTTCCCTTTTCCCACTCCAACCGTCTGCCCTAGGAAAATGACTGTGAGTCAGCTTCCTACTGCTGCTTCTCTTCTTGCTTATGGCTCGTTAAACTGCATCATTAAAGCCATGCCACACAGGGATATCTAGCATTCTAGACAGTGTGAGAATAGACTAGCATCATTAAATCAACTTACATATTTGAAAGTTGAAAACAGACTTCAACTCTATTAACCTATAAATGCTTCATTTTTAGCCATTTCAAATTACTCCTTGAAACTCTCAACCATTAATTGTATGTCTTTGACTACATTATCTGCAAGGAGAAGCAGAGTCATTGGAATAATTGATTAATACTTTTACCAAGTAGATACAAATCATTCTAATCAGATGACATATAATTCATCTACTAGAAAGTCTGGATCAGTTAACTACACTGATTAAAATCCTGTCATGCTTTTATCCAAGTTGGCTTAGGATTCAGAAAAAGGTTTTGGAATAATGGTATTCATTCAATACTTTTAAAAACTACTCAATAGGGATAGAATATCCTTGATGGGACAAGAAAGAAAGGATCTTGAAGAACTGCAAGGTATCCAGAGTGGCAAGTATCCTATCTGAGGGGAATACTTAAATGGACATATAAAACTGTTGAGGTTGGCAAGAAAGAGTCCAGCTCTTGGTTTTCATCAAAGCATCAAAAGAAACTCTTAAGCGGTTTTTGTTGGGAGAAAAAGATCAAGTACTACACATTTTGAGGTTCATTTAGGATGCCAGGTACAGAACAGAAGATAGCAAAGATAATATCATTGTAAATTATAAAAGCAGTTTGAGCACTCAAGATGACAAAAAATGACAGTAGGTAAGATTGGGTTGGTGGCTTTAAAGCCGCATGGACTGAAGTCATTCAAGAGAGAAGTCATCATGACATATAGTTAGATGCCAGGAAAACTGGGTTCTCAGGAAACTGCAGGAGCTTTGAGTGATGCACAAAGAACACTGATAGAAGACAAGGTGATGAATGGTGTGTGCTTGTTTTAAAAATGTAATAATGACTTCTGTCATACATGTGCTGAGTGTAAATTCCTGTTAACTAGCAACATTTATAGTCACAATCACAACTCAGGAGTGTTTTTCTTGCAGGACAAATTACAGTTTGACTATCATAAGAGGTTATTTAAATTATAGGAGTTCATTAGATTTCCTGCAACAAATTTTGGTATAGAAGGGAGGTTTTAGACCTAGTCTTAAAAAAGTCCAATGTTTCAAGATTTGATAGAAAAAATAAAACAACAAAAATTAGAGGAAATTTCTGGCAAAGAATTAGGAAGAAAATCTGTAACTGAACGATCCAGAATAGAGAGTTTCGGGAAATAAATGACTGAGTTGATGAAAGAACACATGAGATGGAAACCAGGACCTATGTTGAAAAAGTTGAACATTGTTCTGAAAGGTAAGATATGGACAGGACTGTGGCGTTGTGTGTGTGCTGAGACCTAGTGGATGCTAACCACAGCAATATGCTCCTCCTCCCTACACCTCAGTGTTTGTGTGTATATGCATGTGAGGAGTGCTCATCCTCCTCAACTTCTTGAGTCATTTGTGATCTTTGAAAGTCTGCCTTTGCTGGAACCTCCCCTGTAATGCCTCTGTTGCTTTGTTATTAATACATGCCTTGTCTTATCCTGGTACTCATTGTGGCATAAATAGATGCATTTCTACTCATCAGCTTGGGGCTTTAGAACCTGGGAAAGTTGAATTTGAACACCTGGATGCCCACCTACTAATTGTCTTTCAAAAATTATTTACAATTCATTATCATGCCTCGGTGTTATACCAATTGAAATGGACATTTTGCTAGTTGATCATAAACCTTAGAGTATCTATCAGTACAAACTTATGTAATACATAAGAAGTACTTACTAAATTATGTGCTGTTTAATGTCATCAGAACATGTTAGTCACTTGCAATGAGACTGTGCCTAGATAGCTATCAATTCACTTTTTGGTTATTCTTTTCTTGTGTACATGTCTAATACAGTTTTTTTTCTGGTACTTTAAAGCCAGGATCACAATGCCATAATGCGGAATCTCTACTTTTCAGGATTGATCATGTCCTATGGCCAGACATGGAAGGAGCAAAGAAGGTTTGCACTAATCACATTGAGGAACTTTGGACTGGGGAGGAAGAGCTTAGAGGAGTGCATACAGGAAGAGGCCTTCCACCTAACAAATGCCATAGGAGAGGAGGAAGGTGAGCCCTTTACAGGACAGTGTAGGAGGCTGAAGCCCTTTAGTTCATTGAACAGATTCTTATTAATTTGGTAAATCCTAGTCTTTGGTCTCCACTGTGTTAGCAACTGAGGACTGAACAGTGAACATCTAGCCATGCCCTTCCCCTAGGAGTTCTATAGCTAAGTATGCAAACACATTGTTGAAGTTAAAGACTGGTTATCTATGTGTCTTCTCAGATATTGACAAAGTCCTTGCATTGTTCCATGACCCCTGTAACTAGATCTTTTCATATTATGCTCTATTGTGTATAGTTTATGTCATACAATGCGGAATATTTGTCACAATATCTTTAAAAGATACATGGCCCCTCCCCACCTCCAGGACAGCCTTTTGATCCTCACTTCAAGATAACCAATGCAGTTTCCAATATCATTTGCTCCATCACCTTCGGGGAACGTTTTGGATATGAAGATGGTCAGTTTCAGGAGCTTCTGAGGTTATTAGATGAAGCCACATGTTTGGAGACATCAATGATGTGTCTGGTAAGCTCTTTGCCTCTGCAGATTTTGGCAAGTATATTGGATTGGGACTGATTAAAAAACAGATAGGTTTTTCTTTATGTTGGGAGACTTTTGAAGCTAATATATAATGGGTATAGAATAAGTCTTAGAAGTCAAATTGATACAAATCTATTTGTAATATAAGAACCCAGCATATATAAACATTTCTAACATTTATACAAACTATTTTAATATTTACAGTGGTACATATACAAGTACATTGAAATTTCATGTTTAAAAATTAAATAACAATGTTATCTTTGACTACAGTTGTCTCCTTTGCCTCTCTTCCTACCTCAGTCACTTTCTGAGTATACTTTCTATCTCATCAACTTGTTTTAAGAGTACTCTTTGCATGCAGTTCAGTGTCTGAATGTATTGTCCTTTTTTCTGTGGTTAGGAATTTGAGTTGTTCCTAGGTTTAGGGTATAAAGGATGATATATCCATGGATATTCTGGTGCCAATGTTCAAGGGAACACATCTACTCCTCTGGGTCATTTTTAGTGTGAGTTTTAAGTTATTTATTTTTTTTTAAGATCATGATATAATTATATCATCTCTTCCTTCCCTTTCCTCCCTCCAACCACCTTAAAGTACCCCTCTGTGCTCTTTCAAATTCACAGCCTCAATTTTTCACTAATTATTGATTCTTATGTATATGTTCTAACATTTATATCCCTATATACCTAATATAACCTGCATAGTCTATATAATGTTACTTTTATGTATGTTTTCAAGGACGATCATTTAATATTACATAAGCAATTGATGTGATCTTCCCTGGGGAAGACTTTTTTCTCATTCTCAGAATTCCTTGGTTGCCTATAGTTCTTAATGTGGGGTTGGGGTCTTGTAGGTATGTCTATTGCTATTGTCCTTGTTCAGCTCATAAATAACTTTTCCTTTGCATCTGGTAAGAGCTCATTTGTGGTGTAGAATGTGTTCCATTTTAGATAAGGTATTATGTGTATGTTTCTGTTGGAAGGAATACCCTTTAGCTATCTCTCAAGACAGTTTCATATACAGTGTAATTTAAGTCTTTCTTTTCTTTTGATTTTCCTTTTTTATTAGAAAAAAAATTATTTTACATGTCAGTCCCAGGTCCCTCTCCCTCCCCTCCTCCCTGCCCCCACCACTAATGCCCTACCTATCCCATACCCTTTCTGCTCCCCAGGGAGGGTGAGGCCTTCCATAGGGGGTCTTTAAAGTCTGTCATATTCTTTGGGATAGGGCCTTGGCCAACCCCCTTGTGTCTAAGCTCAGGGAGTATCCCTCCATGTGGGATGGGCTCCCAAAATCCATTCCTATGGTAGCAATAAGTACTGATCCACTACAAGAGGCCCCATTGATTTCCAAGGTCTCCTCACTGACATCTATATTCAGGGGGTCTGGATAAGTCCCATGATTTTCTCATATAGAGATGAGAGCAGCTTACTGAAATCACCCTGTATTACCTCAGGACTCCTCTGACATTTTATCTTCATTATTGTTGATTCTGGAAAATTGGAAGCCTTGAATTTGATTTGAGTCATATTTAGTTAAAATTGGTTGTTGCCTTTTAAAAAGTCACTTTCAACTAGTCTGAATTTGAAATCTTCTTTCTCAGATACCAGGATAGTTAGAACTGTATGTTTTTAATTTTCTTTTGCTTGATGGTTGGTTATTTTCTCTCTAATAACTCTATCTGTGGGTACCTTTGCCTATAATGTATGTTTCTTAGAAACAATATGTTAGTCTATGTTTCTCCATCTAATCTATCTCTTCTCTCTCTGTGTATCTCTCTCTCTCTCTCTCTCTCTCTCTCTCTCTCTCTCTCTCTGTGTGTGTGTGTGTGTGTGTGTGTGTGTGTGTGTGTGTGCTGGAGCCATGGACATTAAAGATTGTTATTGAACAATACCCACTAACACCTATAATTTTGATGTTTGTTTTTCTGGTTGGTTAAATTAGTATTTATTTTTTGTTTTCTACTCTGTTTCTATATACAGGTTGACTTGTTAGTTGTGTTAATTAACATTAATTTCTTCATACCTCTCATTAGTTCAGCCATTTTATGTAATTTATTCTTTCCTGTGTCTGCATGATTAACATTGCTTTTGTTCCTCTTCTGTATATAATGCTGCTTTACTCACCTTCTTCTTGCTGACTTAGTATATAATTGGGTACACAAGGGTTCCAGAGAGAATGGATCTGAAATACAGTTACTGGCCCTTCAAAAGTTCCCTTTCCCTTTAAGACCTTCTGTTTTTATGCATCCACTTCTCTATAATGCACGCAAACGAGGATATATTCTCACTTATCCTATCCCACAAGCACTTTCTCAAGTTCAGGGATGCCCTCTCTGAAGACTGATGAGTTGGTTAGCATATCTTATAGGTAAGAAAAGTAGAAAAAAAGAATTTGATCTGTTGCACTTGTTGTCTACAGTATTTTGTGTTCTTTGTTTTAACTCTTAATCATGGTAGTTGCAAGCCCAGCAGTTCCTTCACTTTCTTCTCAGTAAACAGAGCCTAGGAAGTCAGTAAAGTTCAACAAGACAACTTCTAGGTTACATAATGGAGTGGGGGTGTTAGAAGAAATGAGACAGTAAAGAGTGATAATAAATATCCTTGATATTACAAATTGTTTGAAGGCACTTTGGTAGACACTGTAAAATACATGTTCATTAATTTTCACAATGACCCTCTACATATAAAATAACACAACATGATGTCTGAAACCTGGCACAAAAGTACACAAGCAAATATAGACAGTAATCGACCAGACCTCAGTGTAATGCATTGTGTGTCACACCATTTAGTGTGCAGAGTAAAGAGTCTAATGTTCATATTACTTAATAATATTAAATAGTGATATAATTTAGTGATTTTAACATTAAATATTTACATACTTTAATTTTATTAATAATATTATTAGTAGCAATAAATATTGTCATAATTTAATATTATTAATAATATCCATATTATTAATATTATAACTGTTATCAAATCTGAAGGTAGCAGATTTAACAACCGAATGTCTGCCTCATTTTATATATTGTTAATTTTACACTGTGCTATGTTGTTTCCCACTAAATATTATTGAGACTTTATTCACCATCCACTTTAATTCAGCAAAGATTTCCATCTCACCATATAGAAATTAAATTAATGTCGGGGATACCAGCATACAAAGATCTAAAGAATACATTTGACTTCCCTGAGGAACAATAAATCCTGACAAAGGATTATCAAGAAGCCTGTCTCTGTAATCAAGTAGCAGAGCTCCAAGCATGTAACTTTTGGACATTACGTTCATTAAATGAAGGACAGGACAGTGCTAGTTTCACAGAGACTTTCTAGTCACAGTGAATACCAACTGCTTAGACCTGAAAAAGAAATGCCCTCAATGTGATCACAGAAGCCATCATGGTTGGAGTGTGTAGAGAAACATAGATAATGATGAAGGTTTGGAGTGTTCCATCTCTGTAGGGTACAATACACTGTCTGATTTTGAGTGTAGTGGATAGTTTTTGAAGATTGTAATTTAATGAGTGGAGCCATATGATAACATTGGTATATATTCTCTCTGGAAACTCTTTGCAAAATGACCTGCAAAGGCATGGAATCAACAAAGGAGAGCACATCGACCCCAGATGCTGTCTGGGAGGCCAGTACAAGACTGATCCAGACCCCTGAACATGGATGTCAATAAGGAGGCCTCTGAACTCCAGGGAGCCTCTGGTAGTGGATTAGTATTTTTCCCTGGTGCAAGAAGGGACTTTGAGAGCCCATCCCACATGAAGAGATACACTCTGACCCTGGACACATGGGGAAGGGCCCAGGCCCAGCACAGGAAGATTTGGTACATACTGCAGAGCCCCCGTTGAGGGCCCTACCCTGCCTGGGGAGTGGTGGGTGGATGGGGTGGGGGGAAGAGTGATGAGGGTGAGGGGAGGGAGAGGGAGAAGGCACTTACATGTGAAACAAGCTTGTTCCCTAATATTTGAATAGCATGCTATAATAATTCAGATAAGAGAGATGAAGGTATAGACCAGGGAGCAAAGAGATGGGCTGGTGAAAAGTTGCCTGGTGTTTCATACATTTTGCAATTGTATACAGTTGAAACACCTGTATACACAGTGGTGACAGGGAAACCAGAAACCAAGATGGCCCCAAAAGTAACAGAGGGGAATGACAAGGTTGCTTAGAAACATAGAAAAATTACTTTGCCATGTCTGCAAGATTTTCTTTTTTCTGTTTATAAGCTCTACAATGTCTTCCCATCCATATTTAAATATCTTCCTGGATCACATCAAACAGTTTTCAGAAACTGGGAAAAACTGAAACTGTTTGTTTCCCGAATGATGGACAGTCACCGGAAAGATTGGAATCCTGTTGAGCCTAGAGACTTCATTGATGCTTACCTTACAGAAATGACAAAGGTGAGGAAGATTCTGCCTGGGTCTTCTTGGAAAAAATATGATGATTTAGTAGTTTCCAATTGATCTTGCATCATGCAGCCATGTGTTTAAGGGTATAACATTCAGTACTGACAAATACCTATTCCTACTGGTCAGGAATAGTGTTATGAGTGTTATGGAGACTCATGCATCAAGCTCTCAGAGGGCACTGACATCCCTTGTTATGGCTCCTTCCTTCATTTTCAGTATCAAGTTTGTAGAATCTTTCCTGTCTCAACATCTGCTTCCATCTTTACATCTCCTCTCTCTGGTTTTCATGCTCAAGCCCCCTCTAATGAGGATAATTCAAGCTAATATTCTTCTGTTAAATTAGTCACATCTACAAAGTCTATTTTAGCTTACCAAGTACCATACACAGATTAAAAAATGAAGATCTGGGCATCTCTATAGGTCAATGATTAACATGCTCTGGGAGTATAAATTATGAATAGTATTTAGACATGTATAATACCATTATGCAAGGAATATTCATAGAAGTAAAGGGTTCAGAGCCAATAGTGCTAGCCATTACACCATGGAACCAGCACAGTTTCAAAAATTCTACTATGGAACTCCTACAGATGATAAACACCTACAGTGAAAAAAATCAGGTAGACCTCTGATGTACAAGTGGTAAGTGGACTGAGAAAGAAGGCAGGAAAAGAATACATTTTACAATACCTACAAATAGTACAAACTATCTTGTGATAGCTATAACCAAGCAACTGAAAAAACTCTATGACAATAACTTCACTTCAAGTCTTTGAAGAAGGAAGTTGAAGAAGATAACTGAAGATGTAAATATCTCCCATGATCATGGATTGGTAGGATTAACATAGGAAAAAATAGCCATCCTACCAAAAGCAATCTACAGATTGAATCAATCCCCATTAAAAAAAAAGTCCAATACAATTCTTTACAGGCCTTAAAAGACACTCAACTTCATATGGAAACTCAACTTTATATGGAAACAAAAAAAACTGACTAGTAAAATAACCCTGGACAATAAACGAATTTTTGGAGGTATCACAATCCCTGATTTCAAGCATTGCTACAGACCTATAGTAATAGTATAGTAATGATATTGACATAAAAAGACAGATTGATCAATGAAGTCAAATTGAAGACCCAGATAGAAATCCACACACCTATGAACACCTGAGTATCTTCCATAAATGGTTCTGGGCCAACTGGATGTCAGTATGTAGACGAATGCAAATCGATCCATATCTACCACCCTGCACAAAATTCAAGTCCAAGTGGATCAAAGACCTCAATACAAAACCAGATACACTGGACCTAATAAAAGAAAAAGTTGACATAGGAGACAACTTTCTGAACAGAATACCAATAGTGCAGAAACTAAGATCAACAATTAATAAATGGGACCCCATGAAACTGAAAATTTTGTGTAATGCAAAGGACACTGTCAATAAGACTAAATGGCAGCCTACGGAATGGGAAAAGATTTTCATTAATTCCACATGTGACAGAGGGCTAATTTCCAAAATACACACAAAACACAAGAAACTAGGTATCAATAAACCAAATAATCAATTTTTTAAAATAAGGCACAAATCTAAACAGAGAATTCCTAACAGAGTAATCACAAATGGCCAAGAAGCACTTAAAGAAATATTTAACATCCTTAGCCATCATGGAAATGATTGTAAAAATGACTCTAAGATTCCACCTTACACCTGTCAAAATGGCTAAGATCAAAAATAAAAGTGGCATATCATGCTGGAGAGGATGTGGAGTAAGGGGAACACTCCTTCACTGCTGGTGGGAGTGAAAACTTGTATAACCCCTTGGAAAAAAATATGACAGTTTCTCAGAAATTTGGGAATCGACCTACCTCAAGACCTAGCTGTACCACTCTCAGGTATATACCCAAAGGAAACTCCATCTTACCACAAGGACACATGTTCAACTATGTTCATAGCAGCTTTATTTGTAATAGCCAGAAACTTGAAACAAGATGTCCCTCAACCAAAGAATGGCAAAAGAAAACGTGGTACATTTACACAGTGAAGTATTTCTCAGCTGTTAAAAAAATAACATCATGAAATTTGCAGGCAAATGAATGTAACTAGGAAAAAAACATCCTAGGTGAGGTAACCCAGACCCCAAAAGACAAACATGGTATGTACTCATAAGTGAATGTTAGTTGTAAAGAATACAATACACAGATACAAAAAGGCTAGGTAACAAGGAGGGCTCAAGGAGAAGCATGAATCTCCCTAGGAAGGAGAAATAGAATATATGTCATGTGTAGACTTAGGGAAGGTAGGGATTGGAACAAGAGGGATCATCAGGTTGGGGGAGGACAGAGGGAGAGACACCTGGAACTGGGAAGCATCTTAGGGATGAGCTAGAAACCTAATGCAATGGAAACTTCCAGGAATCTACAAGGATGACCCTAGACTTCTAGCAATGGGGAATAAGTAGCCTGACGGGCCATCTCCTGTAACCAGACAAGACACCAGTGGGTAGGTCAAGACACCAACCCTCAATACAAAACCCTCAAAATACAATTTGTCCTGCCTACAAGATGTGCTGTGGTAAAGGCGATACAGAAATTGTGGGTGTGGCTAACCAGTGACTCCTCAAGCTTGAGACCCATGCCATGAGAGAGAATTCACCCCTGACACTGCCTGGAGGGCCAGGGACCAGAGGCTGGATAATCCAGAGACCTAGAATAGAACCAAACAGGACCAGAAAAAAAATCAATGAAATGATTTCTAATGATATGCTGCTATACTTGTAGACAGGAACCTAGCAAAATCATCATCATCAAAGAGGTTTGGCGGATCTCTGTAAGTTCAAGGCCAGCCTGGTCTCCAGAGCAAGTGCCAGGATAGGCTCCAAAGCTACACAGAGAAACCCTGTCTCGAAAAATCAAACAAAAAAACAAAACAAACAAACAAAAAAACCAAGGAGGTTTCATCCAGCAATTGATGGAAACAGACGCAGGATCCACAACCAAACATTAGGTGGAGTGTGGGGAATCCTGCAGAAAAGGGAGAGGAAGCTTCGAGAGGACTCAAGGACACCAAGAAAACCCAGAGTCAACTAACCTGGGTTCATTGGGCCTCAGAGGGACTGAAAACCAGGGAGCCTGCATGGGTCTTCTACATACACGTTGTAGTTTATGTAGCTTGTTCTTCTTGTGAGACTCCTAACAGTGGGAGTGGGTCACTCTCTGACTTGTTTGCTGGCTTTTTGGACCGTTTTCCTCCTACTGGGTTGCCTTATAGCCTTAGTATGAGGGGAGGTGCCTAGTCTTATTACAGCTTGATAACTTGATATGCCATGTTTGGTTGATATCCCTTGGAGGCCTGCTCTTTTCTGAAGGGAAAGGAGGAAGAATGGATAGGTTAGGATTCGGGAAAGGCCTGGGGAAAGAAGGGAGGGGAAACTTCAGTTGGGATATAATATATGAAAAAAAGAATGAATAAAATTTTAATTTAAAAAAGAAGTAAAGGGTCCACTGCTGTTTGGCATGAAGTCCCAAAAATGGCAGATACTGTCCCTTTGTGCACCTCATTGCCATTTGCCACAGATGTAGTAACTAAACATAAAGTAAAAGTAGCAATTAAACTTCAGAGCTCTAGTTTTTGATGAGTTGGTCTACAGGGAGGAATCCATCCCATCTCAGTCCCCACTGTAGGATTTGACACCAATAATAACCATCACAAGTGTTACTCTCTTGTTATAAAACTGAAGTGGAGAAATGTAAAGTGAACACTTCAAGCCATGGCATGCAGCTGATACATGAAACCAAGTGTTCCTTTGTAGCCAATTATTTATCATTTTACTAAAGGCTTTTTCAAAAGTATAATCATATGAAAACAATTGTCTTGGATTTTAGGTACTCAAGTGCTGTTGCTCAATGTCTCATTTGAAGGTAAACAATACTACCCAATGAAGTCAAAGGGATTATCATTCTAAAAGATTCCTTCCCAATTTGTTTCCCAGTTTCAAGATTTGTTCTTTAAATAATCACAAATACTCTTTAAAAAAATACACACTAACTTTTCTAGCACCCAGACAAGACTACTACAAGTTTCAATGAAGAAAACCTCATCTGCAGCACTCTGGACCTCTTCTTTGCTGGAACAGAGACAACATCCACCACACTGCGCTGGGCTCTTCTCTGTATGGCCCTCTACCCAGAAGTCCAAGGTGAGCATGTGGTGAATGCATCTGGACAGGGCACAATGGTGCTTCTGAAAGTTGTTGCTTAGATGGGTCCAGAAACTAGAATTTGGAATGGAGCTACATGAAACAGCTGTGAAGAGAGGTGTTCTTGGGAAAGTGTCTTTATGCATCCTTTCAGGATTGTGATAATTCATGGATGCAGATTTCATAGCCTAGAAGACTCTTCAACTCTAGGGGAAAATAGAGAAGTCAGCTGTCAATAAGGTAGGTTCTAGCAGAAGGTCGCACTGTCTTATGGCAATCCACTCAGTCCCTCCTTCCTATTTTGACCTGAATACTATCAAGATGCCTCCAGTGGATATTTGGCCTCCTGTTGATGTTACCACTATCTGTCCAGACTCAACCACACACACTCTGCATGTTGCCTCCCTACATCACATTTTCTCCATTGGCATTGTCCTTATTCTTGCCTATAAGCATGGTACTGGGCTTTACCCCAACAAGAATGTACTATCCCAATTTTTTGAGCTCTCAGTGAAATGTTCTCAGATGCCTCCTAAATGGTTTAAATACTACTAAGAATTGACTGCCTGGAAAATTACTGCCATGATCTCCCTTAAGATACGACCCAGTGCACCCCATTGCAGGGTTTTGCACAATGTTTGTATCTCCCCATGGACTTTCATGCCTTCAGAAATAATGGACCATCCCATCATTTTTATTCCTCCAGATTACAGAAGAATTAGTTCATCAAGTTTCATGTCATGAAACATTTTTCCAAGCTGTGGTAAGAGTTTATTAGTGAAGCATAAAGTCACTGAAGCACATTCAAGACAACTATTTTTGGCCAAAGATGAAGAGTAGTAATCACATTGTTTCCCATGTAGTAAAGAAAATATTAGTCATTCCTTGGGCTCCATACACTTTTTGAAAGGGGAACTTTCTCTGTCCTGGAACTCACCAAGTAGATAAGACTATATGGTCAGTGAGCTACAGGAATCTGTCTCTCTCTCTCTGCCTCCCAGTATGCTGAAATCAGAAGTCCATGCCACTATACCAGGATTTTTACATGAATTCTGGGGATCAAACACAGACCCTCATGTTTTCATGGCTACCAATTTAGTGACTGAGATTACTTCATAACAAACCTTCTTCTTTAATGATGCAAAATGTATATATTATTACTCCTATTTATTTATATATATGTTACCTATATGTTCATTGCTGTGATAAAATACTGTAGCCAAAACTAACTTATATATGCAAGAGCTTATTTCAACTGACAGATTCTATAAGTATCTAGGAAGTATGGCAGTGGGAAGCCTGAGCAGGAACTGCGACATTACATATCAACTGTAAACACAAAGCAAAGAGAAAACTGAAAGTAGAGCAATCAGAGAAAACTACAAAACTGTCCCTAGTGACATAATGCCTCCAGCCAGGCTCTGTCTCATAAAGGTTCCTTGACTTCCCAAATACCACCATCACCTAGGACTAAGTGTTTAAAAACAGAAGCCTATACAGTACATTTAATCTTCTTTATTTGGGTCTTTGGTTCCTATAGGCTCACAGCTATGTTATGATGAAAAATGCATTAGTTTAACTTTAAAAGCCCCCAATAGTCTTTAACAATCTCAATACTGTTCAAAAATCCAAAGTCTCTTCTGAGACTCAAGGTAAACTCTTAACTGTGATTCACTGTTAACCACAAAGCATATTTATATACTTCCAGAATACAGTAGCAGAGAATATATATTCCCATTCCAGCAGTGAAAAAATGGAGGTATAGTGAGGAAATACTAAAGAAAGAAAGACTAAAACCAAACATTTCAAATATCAAACCCTATAGGTCTATGGCTAACGTCTAGAAATCTAATTTCTTGGGACTAAGAGGATTCCACCTGTAGTGAGAATTCCAATTGGTCTTAATAATAAAAACTCAGAGCCAGGTATAGGGGGTAATGTTGAAAGATCAGAGAAGCAGAGCAGCCAGCCACTAGTTCTTATCACTTCTGAATCCTCAGACCAAAGGGGTGATTCTGTGCCTACAAATCCTCAGACTGAATGCTGTCTCCATGAAACCTCAGACTGAATCCTCTGAGCTCTTATCTCCTCCTGCCTTATATTCCTCTCAGCCCAGCCATATCCCTTCTGTCTCCACCTCCCTAGTGCTGGGATTAAAGGTGTGTGATCCCAAGTGCTGGAATCAAAGGTGTGAGCACTGTTTCTCTTTTAGACTGATTGAATCTAGTGTAGCCCAGGGTGGCCTTGAACTCACAGAGATCTGTCTCCTGAGTGCTGGGATTAAAGGTTGTGCCACCACTGCCTGGCCTCTAAGGCTAACTAGTGGATTAACCCAGCATTCTCATCTTCAGGCAAGCTTTATTCATTAGATCACAAACAAAACATCACCATAAGCCATCCCTATACTTTAGACCCTGTAATATAAATTCCTCTCTAGGGCTAATTACACTCCCTATATGCAGCCTCCTTTGCAGGTGTCTCTGATGTCTTGGGGATTCTACTGCAACCCAGTCTTCACTTTCAAAACTTCATGCAATGACCTTTCAAGGCCTTCTAATGAGGACTCTACTGTTAGATGTTACCTTGTCACAGTAGCTCTGTGAAACTCTAAAGGAAGAATCGTTATGCCCTCCTTCACTCTTGAATCTCCCATACCTCCAAAGCATGAGGATGGCACTGACATCCCTTTGCTGTATCTCTTCTTGTGTCTGCAAGCCTGACTATCTGAGTTCAATCCCTAGCACCCAGGTGGCACAAGAAGAGAACTGACCCCTACAAGTTGTCTTATGGATGTCACCCTTGCACTCTGAACATGTGCAAGTGCACACAAAGAGAAAAACAGAATATTTTTTAAATTTTATGTTTAAAAGCAGGAACCAAAGAGAATCCATTCTTCTTATGACACTAAGACACAGCAAAGCTTTGCCATCTATGAGACAGAAAGTTCATCTGTATCAACAAATCTCTTGATGGCTTGATTGTAGATTTCCCAGATTATCAAACTCTAAAAACTAAGCTTTTGTTTTTCATAGGCCACTAGGTAAAAGGAACTAATTTGTAGAACCATGAATGGGTACTGCTATGAGCTGAGTCATGCTGATAAGGGAGATTCCATTCGGGGTAGGTGGAAAGCTATGGTTATGTTGCAAGAACAAGGGAAGTTACAGAGTTTGACAGTGAGTTTCCAAAGCAGTCCTTTGAGAAGCTGAGGAACATGGTGTTTCTTTGTAAACAAAACACCGGCTTAAATATAAGGCGATAACGTCATGGAGACAACTGTGTCTTCAGAAGAAAGCACTAACTTGGAAACTAACAGACCCCCCTCCTTGTTTTCTTGCAGAAAAAGTACAGGCTGAGATTGACAGAGTGATTGGCCTTAGGAGGCAGCCAAGCACAGCTGACAGAGAGTCCATGCCCTACACTAATGCTGTCATTCATGAGGTGCAGAGAATAGGTAATATCATCCCCTTGAATGTTCCCAGGGAAGTAACAACTGACAGCACACTTGCCGGATTCCACCTGCCTAAGGTAACTTTGCGCTTGTGCTCTTGGTTTCAGTGCTCCAGTCTGTCCTTGGCATCTGAGGAATCTAAATATAAAAAGTAACAAAGTATTTCTGCCCCAAGAAAACATTTAAACCAAAAGATATTGTACCAAAGGCTGGGTGGGGGTGGGGGACTTACCTCCAATATGTCTATGATGTTCCTGTGTATAGAGGGGAGTGGAGAAAGGATGATTACTTGGTGGAATCAGCTTTGAATTTAGCCAATAAACTAAAATTTGGCCTTATGAGCTGAAAGACATTCTTGTTTAATCCTGTGTTAATTTGGCTTCACGGGAGTCAGTAGTTCTTTGCTATATCCATGTTCGTAGATATTTTCCAGCCTTTGATTACTTGAGATCTTTCTATTTCACATAAAAACAGTACAAAGTGAAATATTAATTATTAGGGAGCAATAAAAGCAGATGGTTGCCATGTGCTGAGGGTGCTCATGTCAAAATGTCCTAATCCCCTTTTCATAACCATTGGTCCCTGCTTGGGAATGGAGTCTCCCTAAGATCTCCCCAATACAATATACAGCCTCAGAAGAGCTTGGATCGAGAACTAGTCTGGTTATTTTTACTGCCCAGGACTTGCTCTAGTAGAATTGAATGATCTGCCTTACACTTTTCTTCATGGATCCTGTTTACATTCCCTCTGTTCACAGAGCAAATGCATAGCCCAGCTTAGGATCCACTCAGGATTTCTGCAGAGAGATCTCCTGACCACATCACACTCCTTCTGTTCAAGTTGCAATCCTTTCCATTCTTTCTGTTCACTGTATACTAAACCAAAGTCAGACATTTCTTGGCAGTGACAAAATAAATGCCCAAGGTATCAGTTCAGCGTGGTGGCAAGGGGGTGGCTCAGAAAACAAGTCCTTATGATAGTGACCAGGAAAAGAAAGAAAGCGTGCATGAAGCTAACTTCCCACACCATTTATGCTACCCATTTCTTGAGTATGTGGCATGGTAACACACCGTCAGGGAAAGTCTACTGCCATGAGTTAATGATCTCTAGAAATGCCCTCACAGCTACTGTCAGTGGTGTTCCTTTGTAATCTCCTAGACAATCATCAGTTACCAGAATCAAGATTACCTGCCAGAAGTAGTCTCTGTGGAACTGTAATTCTAAGTCTTAGATCCGAAGAATGTGTTATTTCCAGGAAAGTCTTTAGAACTGGAGTAAGAAGAGTTGACTCTGGAAACACAGATACAATTCATTCATTCAACCCCAGAGACAGGCTTCTTCATCACATATCTCTGGAGGAAGGAGCTGGGTTGATGGTTGTTCTCCTCCATGTCCAATTATCATCCCATGGATGGTACCTGTTGTCTCCTTAGGCACATGATGACCACTCCCCCACAGAACTGTGTTTTGTAATAAAGAGCAGATCGACAGGCCTGGAATAGCCTCTAGACACATAATCCATCATTTATCTAGACTAAGAGCAGGATTTTTCAAGGATCTGAGGGTGTAAAGAATGATGGGAGCTTGGAAAACCCCACCCCTTGTCTGGGTCTGTTCAACACATCAAGCTTTGACTCTTTGCTCTCTTCTTTAGGGAACCATGGTCCTGACCAATTTGACTGCTCTGCACAGGGACCCCAAAGAGTGGGCCACTCCAGATGTCTTCAATCCAGAGCACTTTTTGGAGAATGGACAGTTTAAGAAGAGAGAATCTTTTCTGCCATTCTCAATAGGTGAGTGGTAATGGGGAAGATATAAAAATCCTCCTGTTTTGAATTTACCCAGTAAAAGAAAAAGAAAAAAAAACAAAAAAAAAGTCTTCTGTATTATGAGCTCTGATATCAACACAGACCCTGCCAACAGTATGTTTTATTATTACTAGTTTTATTTACACAGTCAAGGTACATGATGACAAAATGGCCTTTGGCAAGTTGGAGAGGAAGAGAAGTGGGTAACCAGTGGCTTCCAAGTCCAAAAAAACCTGAAATCCTCAGGATAAGAAGAACAAACCTATGGTGCAGACTGTGCCTGAATACCCAAAAGTCTCTTACAGACTTGGAGAGGTGGAATGTGATGGTCACGAGCAGACAGTAACACAGTCACAGGGGCTCAGAAAGAGTCAGGCTTGCCAGGTGACAAGGGCCAGACAAATGCATGTTATCAGCCCTGCTCAGGACAGGTCTTTCTTCTCACTTCAATGACCCGCATGCCAGTCATCTCTGAAATGACCTAACAGACAGACATCCATTTTCTAGGCATCTCTCAATCAAGATGATCACTGACTTGGTTACTGTTCTGTTGTTTGAAGTTATGACATGAGCAAGGCAACTCATAAAAGAAAGCACTTACTTTGGGCCTTGCTTACAGTTTCAGAGGATTAGTCTGTAATAATCATGGCAAGAAGCAGATAGGCACGGCACTGGAGCAGTATCTGAGAGCTTTACATCCTGATCCCCAAGCAGAGAGACACAGAGGCAGAGAGAGTGATTGGCCTGGTGTGGTTTTTGAAACCTCAAGGCCCACTTCCAGTGACATATCTCCTCCATCAAGGACACACCTCCTATTCTTCTCAAAAAAGTTTTCCTCCTTTGTTATTGAGCATTCAAATATATGAATCTATGGGGGACATTCTCAATACAGCCACAGCAGTAATCAAGTTTGCCTATCACACAGGTCAAGTTTTTAATCACATGCTCCATGCTGGACGACAAATTCACACCTTCTCAGTCTTGCACAGAGGGAGGGAAGAGCTATTTCACATAATTGCCAAATGAGAAAGGCTTTTAGCTTCATGACAAGGAGTGGTTTGGTCACAATCACATGGGGAGTTGCACACAGGATGAGTTATTAACCCTGAGTCCTAACTTTGCATATCATGGTATGTGGATTTTCACAGGAGAACCTTGGGGATTTAATGAGTTGTTAGCCATGTTATTCATGACAGGCAACAGGAGGAGCATGTGGAGAGCAAAGATAAATGAAATATGATGGCAAAAAACGCAGATGTTGCATAAGATACTGACATCATCTTAGCACATTTACATTTACTATGCACCTTTTCAGGTCTGCTTCTATTTTATTTCCTCAACAACTTTTAATAGGCAGGTAACAAAGTGCATCCATCAATTTTTAATGTCACTGAAAACCAATGTGGCTTCTTATACATCATCCTTCAATGCACGCTATCATTCCTTCAACCATGTCCTTGTTGTAAACCCCATGAGGACAGTGGAAAATATGTCCAAATACTAATAATAGTTTTGTCTGAGTTCCGGTCTAAGCATCTTTGTCATAGTCTTTATAGATTTCTTTTTATTCACTTTTTTAAAACTTTTTTCATTCTAAAATGTTTTATTTTGGAATTATGAAAGTACTTAGTGGTAGATGAGACAGCTCACTTGGCAAAGAGCTTTTCTAGGAAGCAGAGAACATAATTTATCTCCAGAACTCACATAAAAACTTGGAGACTGGTGGATTGTGCTTATAACCATAATACTTGAAATAAAGGGTCTCTTGGGACTCAGTGGCCAGGCCTACATGGCAAGTTCTAAGGAACATAGGACTGTATCTAAAAGAGATGATGATTGTGGCATTTGAGGGTCAATACACATGTCTTTCCTCTGACATCTACATACATGTGCCACATGTATACATAAAATGAGCACACTTTCTATGCACAAGCACATCCACACAAACATGGACTTAAAAATAGGTTAGAGACTGCAGTGCTGTTGGGATACTTGAGGAGGATGTTTACTGAGGTAGAAAAGATTGGAATGCTGGGGTTGTCCTGCATCATCAGAGATCACCCATGGGAACCCAGAAATGCACTAGAGAGACTGACATGTAGACAGTAGATAGGTTGGATATAGACACAAATACATATGTCTACATACACACTTAGATGTATACACTCTGTGCCTGTGTGTAGGATATGGGGTACCTAGAGCAATTGCTGCCAGAATTGTGAGAATGCCTCTTGCCCAGGTCTTACCTTCTACATATTATTCAATACACGTAATGAGGATACCTGAGAAAATGATAATTTCCTGGACTAGCAAAGTGAAAATACATGTTTGGAGTAAATATTTATGCCAAGAGTCAGGAAATGACATCTTTAATGTGTCTCTAATGGCCAAATCAATAAGATGTTAGACATAATCATCTGGACACAAAGCCCAAGGTAAGTTCAGTATTTTCAGTATGAAGTTGGGAACACTGGTCCCTCAATGTATCAAAGTCAGCTGAGAAAGTGACTCATCTTCTCTTTTGGCCCACAGGAAAGAGAGCTTGCCTGGGGGAACAATTGGCCAGGTCTGAACTGTTCATCTTCTTCACTGCTCTTATGCAAAAATTCACGTTCAAACCCCCAGTCAATGAAAAGCTGAGCCTGAAGTTCAGAATGGGTCTCACCCTTAACCCAGTCAGTCACCACATCTGTGCTGTCCCCAGACTGTGATGCTGGAGAAGGAAAGAGAAAAGAAAAGAAGAAGGAATGGCATGCACTTCAAACCCATTGATGCCTACACATACAGGTGGAGGGAGACGGGATGAAGACAACTGAGGAAAGATGGGAGGAATTGGAATAAGGAAAGTGAATCAAATTCCTAGACTTCTGGATCCCCAAGTAGATGTTGATTATGGGACTTATGAGTTTATAAAGGTTGCTAAAGGAATAATGACTGTGCCCACTTTTTAATTATATGTAAAATGAAATTATTTACTAAAATGCTATTTAAGTCATATCTCACATCACAACGGTGTGCCTTCAAATTTCTTCCTTCCTCCTGTTGTAGACACAGATTTACTTCTGGACTATTGAAATGGTTCATTTGGAAATGGTAACAAGAGAATATAAGAGTCAGAACTGGGTTTCTGGGAGCAACCATAGATATAGGACTTGAAGACTCTCCTGTTTGGAAGGCTCTGCCTCTGAGTGGTCCTTCTGGAAATCAGCTGGAAAGCGATTACTCACTAGTTTCACACCAGAAAAGCAAACAGCATTGAAGCAGTTTCGGTGGCTTACATATATTAGCTGGATCTTGACTTCCAACCCAGGACCAGGTTCACATGTAGTTACCAAGAAACAAACCCTAGAAGAAAGTTTGGGGAGAAAATGGTAAAGATTTTCCATCATCAGGTACATGAGCCAACATGAGGCCCTTGGGATTGTTGGGAGTTCTCTGTCTGTTGATCCTTAATGCTGTTGATCTGGGTGCAAAAGCCACGGCTCTCATCTTAAAGGGAATGAGAAATCATTTATGCTGAATCCATTTTGAACAATAATGGCCCAGGAACACAGGTTTAGGTCACCACAAATTCCATGTCCAAACATAGAAGCAGTTGCATCAAGTTTTATGATTTTACAAAACAAAAATGTCATGTGTCAAGGTAAGTTTAAAATACTTTAGTGGGCCATCAGAGAAGTAATTACAATAAAATGGGGGCAGTTTCTCTATAGGTCTTAGGTGCTTTCTGATGACATTCTTAGGTTTTAAGTTGGTGGAAACCATTAGGTCTGAAAAGTCCAAACGTTTTTTATCTATCCATCCCAGGATGTGAAGTCCCACACAGAAATTAGCAAGGAAGGCTAGGTGTTCTTGGAAGTTAAAGCTGGCACAAGATAAGTTAATTAGCCTTGGACCTATAACATTCTAACCTCTGTCAAAAATACTGAACTTCTAATCAGTCAATGAGTCTTTGCAGACACACCTTATTTTTAGGAGTTTTGGTTCACAGTGCAAATTCCAGGAAGTTAAATGACAAGACAATGGAATTTCCACCATTACATTCATGGTGTCTAAGTGATGAAGCTATACCCTTCCCTTGGTCTCATTTGTCCATAAGTTAGGGGCCTGGTTTTCCTGATATGATTTTAATATGCCCACATTCCTCTACAGTTCCAATTCACCACCCCCCAATAAATTAACATTTCTTTCTACAAACAGTAAATTACTCATCAGTCTGTGCTGCTTAGTGACAGATGGTGCTGTTCATGTATCCACCCAAGTCCACAGTCATCTTCCATCTTCAAAATAGAGTCAAAAGCTGCTTGTGAAATGGAGTCTTTATAGGCAACAACAACAATAAAACCATTATTTTACAAGGTATTAAGTATGAAATCAGAACACAACCTAGTCACAACATACTAAATATAATAAATATAAAAATGTTGGGCCCTCAGCCAGACCCTAGAAAGCAATGGGACCCATGACCAATTATTACATAACTAGAATGAACCATAACCTTTGGGAAGACATTCACTGTGACTTCTACTGGAAATTTCCACCCATAAAACATATCTCCTGTTTCTAAGTTCACTAGATATGGTATAAACAATAAGTCTCTTTTCACTTCAACAATTATGCAAACATTTTACAAATGCAACATATAACCATCATTCCTCCCTTATGTTTGGACACTGTAGTACCACTGCTCTTCTCTTAGGCCAGATCCCTACTATACAAAGTTGTCTCAAGAATAGTATCTTCTCAACATCATCCTCCTACAAAGTGACCTAGACCAACCATGCTGCAGTGAACATTTAAAATAAGGCAAGACCTTGAAGGTCTTAGAATAAAGTAGGCAACACTTCTGGCTGGATATGGCTGGCTTGCTTGTACAAGGAAGAGGTCTAGGATACCACAGCCTTGAGGCAAAGTTGGTCTGGTAACTGGAACAAAGAAGGCTTCCTGAGAGGACAAGCTGGGTAGTTGGGGCAAGGTGATCCAGAGGTCATCCACTGGTAGCCAGCCTTTGTCCCCTTGAATTCATTCACCCTGGAAGGTCAATTTATGAGATGAGCACCAAGACAGGAAAATGAGGGATCTTACCATGGGATTCTCAAAGAATCTCACACCTTTGTCACAACAATCAAAAATGGTGCAGTATCTTTTGCAAATAACACTGTAGCAACTACCTCCAGACCTTCACAGATTTCTTCCAACATTCAGCTTGAATTCTCTATGTACCCCTTAATCTTGGCTTTCCAGAGATGCTACAAAGCACATAGAAATCACTCGCCTGATAAAAGGATCCATGCTCCTACTCTATACCTACCCTATTCTACACTTGAATGGGGAGATAAAAAGTTCCCTCCCAACATTTAAAGTAGTTACCAGAGGCATAACCCACAAGGGAGCCAAGGCACTCCCAGCCTTATGTCATCATTAGAAGCTGGCTGACCTTCCTGATACATGAGGGTCATTATTTACTCCAGAGGGTTTTTTTGGATGGTAGGTCCTGCAGAGCTAGGCTAAGGTTAACTACACAAAACGTAGGAAGGTCCGTCAAAGTTAAAGGATCCCACTACTGAGAGAGGTCAAGAAACATGGGGGAATTCATTTCTCCATCAATAAGAGGGATTGGTTCAAAAGGCTTCTCCTTTGCATTGTTCATGAGGGGAGGGTTGATAAAGGAAAATCTTCAGAGAGTGCTCTGGAGTAGAAGAACGTGTGGGTCACCACCTGTGCTCCAAGCCAGGCCTGACCACCCTACCTAAATAGCCAATAAAAAGAACTAAATTAAATGTATGATGCATAAAAAGGATATTTATTAAATTTGGCCATATTGAGAAGAGAGACAAAGAGATCTGGAAGCCCCCTGAGTCGCCCTCAGGGACCTATAGTGAAATTAAAGTTTAACTAGAGAGCCAAGGATGTGCAAATGCAAGTAGTCCCAGTCAAGGTGTGGTCCCACCCATTATCTTCATTTTTGCCAAGTCTATTATACAAGGAGCTATGAAAAAATGCTCCAATATGTTCCTTTCATCATACGGACATGAAACAAGACACCCCTAAACTGTATCTGTTTGACCCAAACCTTAAAAAGGAAATGCATGCTATTTTTCTACACTGGAGTCTGGCCTAATCTCAGACGGGAGAATAAACAGTGCCCTTTAATGGAAAATGCCAATCATAGTATTACCTTTCCGTTGCAGGGAAGGCACTCATTTATTAAGGTTTCAGACTGTGTGCCTCCATTTGCAGATAGGCTGATTGTGGGTTTAGAGTTTCAAAAGTTTTTCCTCAGCCCCACACTAGCCAGAGGTGATCTCAAGTTAGACCTATATAAAAGCAAATGCCTCTTATCATTTTGATACTCCTTGATTGTGAGTGCCAACTACCACATACTCTTGACTCTATAACGTTTTAAAACAACAGCAGCTGATCCTTTAAAATCAATTGTTCTACCTCTAAAATACTCTTAAAAAATGAAAATGCTTTCTATCTCTTGCCAACTGCTGTTCCCAGGCAGATGATACTCTCTGTCTATGTGTGGTGATATTTTATTTATGATCTAACATTCGTGCTATGCCTATGTTAGTTATAGAGGAACAAATAAACAAGGAATAGCTATTAATGTAGCTGAAGATATAAATTGCAATTCATCTCTGGACTTGCAGTATTCTAACCTCACCATATTCATTGACAATCTTATCAAGTAATCCACCTTGTAGATGGTCCAATATAAGGTGTGGTTCACCTATGCTCTAAGATTAAACCCAATAATCACACTGATTTGACAAGTTGGGCATTGGTAGAGCAGGACTTTGTTCTTTCATTGACGTCCTGTCTGAGGTGAATTGTTTTTTGTCTACATCTTCCCTGGGGGAAAAATTAATGTACTATCTTTAGTACATTGTGCTTCAATAAAAAATGGTCATCTTTATTGCATGCTGACTTTTATTCTTCTGGGTGTATGCCCAGGAGTGGAACAGTATATTACAAAGAAGTTCTATTTTTAGTTTCTTAAGGATCTTCTATACTTATGTCCATATAGGGTAGATTAATTATTTACATTCATTACCACCAACAAGTGTTAAAGTTTCTATAACTGTAGTGACATGACGATTATCTAAAGAGGCAAATGTAGACCTATCAATAGGTTGGCTATTAAAATATTGAAAGAATTACCCCCAGAAAAGTCATGGTGGGAGAAGGAGAATGATGAAGAGGAACTTATATCCTGACAACTTCTTGGACTGCTTCATAGGAGACACTGGTCCCAGAGAATTATACTTAATAGTAGGGGTGTTAAACCTTGGCCAGGCCTGCTTACTTGTGAGAATATCTTGTCTTCCACTAAGACCTCATCCTAATGTTACATACAAAGATGAGTTTCAATGATCAATAGACTTCTTTACTCTTCTTCCCAGCATGGCCACATTGAATGAATCTCCTTTTTCTGTGTGTCTCTTTAATTGTCCTATTAAGGACAGGTGACCAAGTTTAGTGTTAAGCCTTCCAGAGCCTGAGGCTCCAGTGTTAACAAATGCAGTAACAGTTCATCACCTGCATAAGTTGCTTTTGTTTTAGAGATGGTGGACATTCTGACTTGGGTAAGATGGCATCTAGGTGGAATTGTCATTTGTATTTCCTGGGGCTAAACATGTTGAAAATGCTTTAATGTATTTATTAAGCATTTGTATTTCTTCTTTTGACACACATCTGTTCAGTTTATTTGCCCAATGTTTGATATTGTTTGTGCATTGATGTTTTATATAGTTTGGTCATTAACCAATTGTTAAATGAATAGCAGACAAAGATTGTTTTCCCTATTTTATACTCTGTCCCTTCACTGGCTGCTTATCTGGTTGTACATTCCACAAGTATATTTTTCAGTAATAAATATATTCAAAAGAACACTCCTGCCTCTCTCTTTGGATATTAGACTATAGAAACCATGGACCCCAAGACATTAGAATTAACCCAGGAATTTCCTACTAGATAAGACGAATCTGAAGCCCTA